ACCTATTTACTTGTGGTCTGCTTCGTTCATCGCAGCTTTCTGACCATGCAATTAAGCTGGCTTGTTTCTCTTAACCACCCTACCTGCCAAGGGACAACGAACGCAAGGACGAGACGACGAAGGCGGTCTGGTAAACACTGATGGGACTCACGGCCCGGCTTCATTTTCATGAAGAACAAAGCTCCAGAGAAGGACTTTGGATCAGCACGCTCCTGGGAAGGGGCTGGGAAAGGAGCATTCATCCCAACAGATGACAGGCACACCCTTTTCTCTTGGTAAACACACGCTTCCCACCAACTGCCCCATCACCCAGCCTGATCTTTACACAAAGCAGAACCTTCAGTTCTCACTGGGTTTCAGCAAGCACCCCAAAAAAATGGTCACGGGACAGCAAAGTGGCTCCCCGGGCCCTGCATGCATTGCCACCAACTCTCCCAAGTGTTGTACAAGGCAACATCTGGCTGTGCAACATCTGGTGTGTCCAAGGTGGGCGTGGATCTTTTCTATGGAGAAAGCTCTTTTTAAGTCAAAAGTACGGAGCTGCTGGAGCTGGCAGGATATGTGGGGATGCTGTAGGTAAAGCTGCAGACATGTTTCTCATCAGAGATCAAGCACTAGGGAGATGGTTTTCCCTCAGCAGCAGGGAACACTAATGTCCCAGGAGTAAAAACAGAGCTACAAACTCACGTCACTTATTTCCATTACTGCCAGAAAGAGCTGGATTTAACATACAAAGAACAAGGTCATGCATACAGGGGGTATGGATGTAGGCACACAACTGGAAAGAAAGGAAAAGATGTGGGAGCTGGAGAAGTGCAGTGTGATATGGACAGTGTCCTGCAGTGAAGAGGGCAGCAAGGTGCAAGGTGGGGAAACACCACTATCTCAGTCCACCATCCAGACAAGAAACTTCTGGAATTATATATCTAGGGGAATGTACACAAGCACGTGGATGTGGCCACGACCCTGCTACCCAGCAAGGAAGAAGCCCATCATGGGGGAAAAGCATGCCAGCCTGCACAGCATGGCCTTCCCTCAGTGAAGGGGGAATTAAAAGCATCCATTGAGCAACAGACTGGGCAAAGAAGCATCTTCCAGGACTGCATTCCAGGACTGAGCCCGCAAGACTGGGACATCTCACTATGTGCCACATGTAGGCACTGGGATCACATTTGACCTCAACGTTGAGCCCAAACCCAAACACTGGAGGCATGGACAATTACCAGCCTGAAAACTCCCGTGCCAAAAGGACTCCTTTTCCAGGTCTTTTTATAACATGTTCTTTCCTGTCTTCCGATGGAAAGGATTTTTGGCAGATGATTTGGAAGTGGATAATAAATCTAAGCTAGGACACTGCGTCCAATTGCTCAGTAATTTCCTGCACGGCTCTCACCAGGAAGTTTACGCGTGGTGCTGCATTTCTGCCGCTTTAGTTTCTCCTGTGATACATTGTCATTGTGTGTGACACTCCGTATAATTCTGCCTCCACCTGGAGTGGCAACCCTGTTAAATTTTTAAAAAGAAAAGCTATAACAGGTTTTTTAGGAGAAAAAGCTGTCTGCTTGCCCGTGACCTCACCTTTAACCCGAGCTCTGGAATTTAAAGGCATTTATAAAATCCTGTTCCGGCCGCTGCGCTAGATTCTCACCTAAACATCCCCAGCAACTTTCCCAGTCTCCAAAAAACAACTGATTTGAAAGTTTATTAGGAGCAATAATTTATTTTTGGAGGCAGAGGCTTTTGTTGCATTGAGGCCTGTAGATACCCGGGCACTGGTTTTCAGCGTGGATCGAGTGATTCCCAGACACAGCCTATTTCCAAGGAAAACACCAGCCCAGGCTGCTGGGTACCAGAGGCACTACAGTGCAAACTGAAGATGCGGGGCCATTTTTAATTCTATGCTAATTATCGCAATAAAAACCAGATCCTGCAGCGGAAGACCCATTCTGGGAAGAAATAATCATCCATCTTTCGTAGCTGTAGCCGTGCTGCTGCAGAAGAAGCTTATTTACAAAATGGCAATCTCCGGAAAAAAAGCTGTTACCGTTGCCTGACAAAGCCATATATATTCTGATACCTTCTGGGGGGCTCTGTCTGGGAAATTCCTCTTTGAAACCCAACACTATAAACCTCAAATATGGAAAAACCCCATCCTGTTCAACAAAAGGCAGCTGTAGGGCTAAATGCAACCCACCGTGACACAGAAATGATGCTTGGAGATCCCTGCTTTGAAATCCCTGCTTTCGGTTTAGAGCAGGAAAATCATATGACCTCTAAATTATTTATATGTGAAAAGATGCTTTTAATAAAAGCATCAATGGTGTGTAAACAAAACCGAAATTCCTAAAGCAGACTTTCCACATTTTGCACGGTTACTTAGATGTGGATGAGAAACATCCTCTTTCCCCCTGGACAAAAACATCCATCGTGCAGGATGGCATGAAAATGCCCTTTTTTAGTATGCAGGGAACACAAGAAGCCAAATAAAGCCATGAACCTGCAGAGTGGTTGTGAAAGGGATGAAGAAAACCCATCCAAGCAGCAGGACTGCAATCTGTTCCCGCTCCCCCCGCGCGGCGCCGCGGTCCCCGAAGAGGCTCTCGCACCAGATTGCAGTGCCAGACAATCCTCCTCCAAGAGCTGCTTGCACCCGGGCGTGCCACCACCCGTGCAAAGGGCTCTGCTCCACCTTCTCCACGTCTCCTGGCTGGGTATCCGCGAGTATTCCCAGGCACGTTCCCGGGGAGCAGCAGAACAGCTCCGATACGTCGCCCCGGCGCAGTGATGGAGCCTGAAGACGGGAACATTGGACCGCAGGGACAGCATGTTGAAAGCAAAACATTTTATTACCATCGGTTAAGCTTCATAATGCACGCTTATGAGTAAGAGAGAGGTTATATGGAGATCACTTTGCTCCCTACCAACTGCAGCTTCTGGGATTAAACGCAGCAGCTGCTGAGCGGAGCGGAACGGGACCAGCGCAAAGAAGAGGAGAATAAAATACATTTGAAACGGTGAGGGGTAGCTTGGCAGAAAACAGGCCCCTGACTTGAAATTCAAAGAGAAAGGTTTATTTTCTTACTGCTGTACCAAAAGGCACGGCGTCCTGGACAACAGCTGGTGACCAAGCACTGCTCTGGAAAGGCCCCCCTGTAAGTCATACCCACCTCAGCAACCACTGCCTGGTACGGGTGCAGGAATGTTGGAGAGGAATGCTCCTCCTGGGGGCCACGACACCTCTAGAGTCCAGCATGCTGCAAAACCAGGAGCTCCTGACTAATCACACCCCCGCAGGCGTCCGTGGGAAATTCTGGTGGTCATGGGCCACCAGGAGGATGGATGACAACGGGGATCTATCCTGAATTCTGGATGGTTGGCTGGCTCAGCCACAGCTCACCCGAGGTTGCCTCGGATGTGTGATTTCTTGCTTGTTTTCTGTCCACTCCCTTGAAATGCTTTTGACAGTAAATGCCAGCCTGGGATGGTTTCTGAAGAACACAAGTTTCTTCCAGCAGAAATTGTCCCTTCAATCTAAGATCAAAAATCCAGTTATCTTTCCTAGAGGTCAGAGACCATAAAAAAAGCTATTTTGGACCATCTGCTGAAGAGTCACTAACACACTTTACCAGCACCATCTTTTTTAAGCCCAAATCAGTTTACCTTCCAGCCAATCTTCCACAAGCAGCTTCAAATTGTATCAAACCCTATCCAGAGGAGCACTCTGCTTTCCCCTTTCCCGATATTACCGCTCTCATTTCACAATAGTTTCTGCATTCAGACTGAATTCAAAGGAGAAAATGCCTGCTCTAGTGAAAGAGGACTCCGGTTATTGCTAGCACAAAGCTACCAATTTTTCTTCTAGCAAACAAAACGCTTGGCTAGAAAGGTGGGAAGCTCTTGGAAGACTGAGAGCCTGGAGGAGGCTGGTTTTTAGACTGAGGCAAGTGAAAAATCCCCATATTGTGCCCTCTTGCTTGTTTTGCACAGCATCTTCAGTCTCGCTGGGAGGAAGAGGCCAGGTTTTGAACAAGGAGAGAGAGAGAGAGCACCTCAAGGGCTATTGCAACAGCTTGAGGGCTGCAGAGGGGAGGAAGAGGAGGAGGAGGGTGAACTTCCCTCTGTGAAGAGCCTGAGGAAAGAGGTCTAGGGAGGTTATCCCAGCTTTAGAAGGTGTCTCCTAAGAGCGGGAAAGAGGTGTGAAAAGCAACAGGTTAAACTGCAGCTTGATGCTGCAGGCAGGAGTTAAGTGGGCACCACCTCTGCCTCCTGCTCTGGATTAGGGATTTTCTTGGGGTTTCACATATATCAGCATAAAACACACACTGCCAAGCAGACAGTTTTAAGCTCTCTTTAAAAGAAAAGTCTCTGTAATATGCCTTCACCAAGGTAACCCACAGTAAAAAGCTGGCAGCATCCATGAAAATGTTCATCAGGCGACTACAGCACCTCCCTCCTCTTTTTTTATTTTTATTTTTTTTTAATAAGACAGCTAGAAGGAACTTATCAGTGGTTAGCTCAAAGGGTTACCCCTGGCAGCGCTGAGGGATGACTGTGCTGACATCAGCAGTAAGTGCTGCTATGGAGAGCGGGCCGGGATGCAGCAGGATTACGTGCACACCGCATGCTGGCACACGCTGATCCCAGGACAGACATGCCTCCAGGCTCTCCAGAGCGGATGTGCCAGGCAAGAGGTAAAAGTCCCAGAGGCAGAAAAGGAAGGAAGGAAGAGTTGGGTTCCTGTGGTAGCCAGGATAAAGCTGTTGACACCTTCCCTCTGAGCTGTAACGGGATACACAATACCTGTGGGTGGCGATCCCTTGCCTAGCTCAGGTGTCTGCTGCCACTTTGACCCAGCTCCCATGGGCAGGCTCTGGTGGTCCCTGGTCCTGGTGGCTCCCACTGCAGCAACCGGAGTCAGGACTGTAAGAGAGTAGACAGCAGCTTGGCAGTTGGGCTCCTGTGGTAGCCAGGATAAAGCTGTTGACACCTTCCCTCTGAGCTGTAACGGGATACACAATACCTGTGGGTGGCGATCCCTTGCCTAGCTCAGGTGTCTGCTGCCACTTTGACCCAGCTCCCATGGGCAGGCTCTGGTGGTCCCTGGTCCTGGTGGCTCCCACTGCAGCAACCGGAGTCAGGACTGTAAGAGAGTAGACAGCAGCTTGGCAGAGGCACAGCTCTTATCTCCACATCTTCATGCTTTGCTGTGGGCACACTCCTCCCACGTGCCTGAATTTACAAACCCACATCAAACCCCTGGGTCGATTCCCAAACTGATTTGGAAGCATTTGCTATTACACATGCAGAGAAAAGCGACTCTAATTACTCTGCACCCCATTTAAATGTCCCGGGGAGAATGAAATCCTGGCACTGCTCAAAGAAACCAAATTGAGGTTACACATAACAAAGGATCCAGGCATGCCACTGAGCTGTGGTGGGAAGGAAGAGGCTGTGCTCAGAGCAGCACTTGCAGCAGATGCAGCAAAGCTCATCCCTGGGGAAGCTGTCAGACAGTGCCTACAAGCAAGATAGTGCGCGCCGGCTGCTCGGAGGCAGCAGCGAGCCCGCCACCAGCACAGCACCAGATCTGCCCCAGGGAACTGCTTCGTGCAGCCCACTCCACAGGGCAGCCATCCCTGAGGGATGGCCGACTGCAGGGTTAAATAACTCCTGCTTTGCTGCAGCCTCACCCCAAGAATCTGCCCCAGCCGAGAGGACACGTCTGCCAGAGCCCCATCACCCACGCAACAGCTGCAGAAGCACGTGAGAGCTGCGGGCAGGATCCCTGGCATGGCTGGGGCCAAAACACACCAAAACAGACAGGGAGCAAAACGACTGTCTGGGGAAAATATAACCAGCTCCACACCTTTTTGTCCTACATTGGCTGCAGCAGTTAGCAAATGCGCAGTGAGGGAGGGAACCAAGGCACATTCGGGCTTTGCACAACATTTCCAGAGGGATTCACAACGCAAGCTTAAGAAAAAGATGCTGAACTTGTAAGAAAAAAAAAAAGAGACGTAGGGCCCTCAAGCCAGGTCATGCACAAGACATGAACTTGGTGATCCAATGGGGAGAAGGAACAACACAAGCAGGATCAGGCCCTGCCAGCAAAGTGAGAGGAGAATGTCCCTATGCACTCAGCCATATAAACACCTACAGGGGTTTCTGCCTGTGCTGCTTTGGTGACCTTGATGTTTTGCAGCCAGATGGAGCAAGAAATATAATGTCAGCTTAAAGGATATGCTCGGAGGCAAGAGGCATGGAAGTTTGGTTCACCTTGTGAAACACAGTGCCTATTCTCAGCTTACAGGTAAACATTTCAGCCAAAAAACTTTTTCCCTAATTTTACCAGGATGGGGGAGATTATTAAAAATGCTTAAATTAATAACTTTGTGATTTACTGTACAGGAATGTGCACATAAATTGAGTTGTTGAATCTAGGATAAATGCTACTGCCAAGAACTAGATCAAACCCTTGCCCTCTGTTCTTGGCTGTCAGTAGCCTCTGCTCACTCCTGCTGTGACATCTACCCGAGAAAAACTCTTTTCAAAGTGCCACCAGAACAATGCTCCACTTCTCAAACACTTTGCCGTGTTTATTGGAGTCTCAGGACAGAAATTGTCCTTGGAGGCAGCTCAGTTCCCTGACAGATTCCTGTTCTAGGCAGCCCTATAGAAATCTCAGGAGTGTTCTAACATCTAGGAGGAAAGAACAAGGAGCTGTGGTGAAGACAACCCAAACAGAAAACACATCTGCCTGTTGACTGCACACTGAGCTGCATTTAGTCCAGAGCACTGTTCCATCACCTCTCTCCCCAAGCCTAAGGTCTGTGGCCTTAAGATTCCCCTGCCAGCTTTCTGGGGAGAGACTCTTTTTTTCCATCAGGTACTTCCCAACCAGGCAGCAGCACAGCAACCTCCTCCGTGCCCAAAGCAAAAATGACAATCTGCAAAACAGCCACAGGTCCAGGGGGAACTTCCAGAGACAAAGCAGCTCCTGCTCAGCACCAGTTGCCAAGGGAAGTGTTGGGAGCGATGCCAAACCCTGCTCCCTGTGAGCCCTGAGGTTTGCTCTCGTGCTGCAAACACGCCGTGCTCCAGATCCCCCTTGGACATGGAGCAGCAGGGATAATTGATTCATGTTCAAAATACCAGGCCTGCATTGGCACACCCAGCCTTCTCCCTAGGAAGAGGAGGGAAGAAATAGCTGCCTGACACATGTGGCCTTCTGGAAGCTGCTGGGATGAATATACATCATATATCATGTGCAGCGGTGACGCTGTGGGACAGCAGGAGCTTCTCTCTCCTTGGACATACACAGAACTCTCAGATCTCCTCGCGCTGAAAATGTTACTGTGGGAAAGCTCATGCCAGTATTTCCGTGACTCTTCACACACAATCCTGGGAAATTTAGGAACATAAGGGAAAACCTGTATTTCCAAACATGCTGGCACAGAGAGCTTATATTGTCACTTATTGTGCTTTCCCTACATTTGGGTTTGAACAGACTCATCAGAAAGCAACAAGAACATGATCAGGGCTAAAAATTACCCTTGGTGGAAGGTTCTGTATTTCCTTTGGAAAGGATGCAGAAGAGACCTGACAACAGCCTTTAATTACGTGCAAGAGCTGCAGCAGGGAAGAAACCAAACTGTTTTTATAACTCCTCTGGAGAGCATGGCCTGTAAGGCAAAAAGCAATGGAATTAGATGGAAGCAAGGGACACAAGTGCTGGACAGCAGGAAAAGTATCTGAGAGGAAGTAGGGTGAAATAGCTTAGGGAGGGAAGCTGGGAATATCCAGCATGGGAGATTTGAAAGAACAGATTTTTTCCACATTGTTCAACTTGGGAAAAATATGGATGCTTTTTGCTCTGTACCTGGCCCTGAAACGCACCATTAGAGGCACCCTTGCACTTGCAAATTCAAGTTTAGAGTCAGGTAGGTTCCAAACCTTCCAGACACTACACTTCACCCCAAATTTCTCCCTGTCTCACTTTTGGACACCATCAGAATCGATCAGCATCAGATCATCACAAGAACTCTCGCACTCCTTTGAGGTAGGGAGGTGTCATCCACCCCTTTTAGTGGTGGAGAACACAGGCACAGGCAGGAATAAAGCCAAAGTGATCCCATCTCCATTATCTGGAGGCCCAGCTCCACACACTGACAGCTTTCCCAGAGTCCAGGCAATTACTCCAGCACTTCACTGCTTCAAAGCACAGCTTTCAACAGCTGTTGACACCGACCCCTGCTGCACCTCAGCCCTCAGAGTGGCAGGCCCAGGAAAGCAAAGGCGGTACAAGTGGTGACCATCTGCAGAGTCTTGTTAGAAACCACACAAACCCCTCTGCAAAGGCAGGCGTGAGATGGCTTCTTGAAAGCCACTTTCTTTCCCCTCTGATCCCCTCCAGCCTCCACCAACCCCTTTCCTTTGCAAAGGAAAAGAGCAGCTGCCCCATCAATGCACACAACAGTCCCATCGCTCGTTCCTGGAGCGGAAGGCAGCCGATGTAGCGTGTGGAGCAAGGCTCCGGTGGAAAGCACACACAAGCATCCACCGGGATAAGCTGGGATGGCACAGCAAACCTTACAGGCCACCAACATCTGAGTGCTCCTCTGAGCTTCTGCCTGTACTCCCGGGCAAGCCTCCCAGCTCAGCAAGAGCCCAGCCACAGGAGCCCCCAAAAGCGAGCAGTAAAAGCAGTAACTCCACCCGTCGGACACGCTTGGCCCCGGTGGGCTTGTTGGCAATGTCAGGCACTTGCAGAGCACGTTACTGATCCCAAAGAGGAAGGAGAACCAGCCCAAGAGAACCACCCTGCTCCCCGAGCGGAGCGTTAGGATCCAGGCTCTGTGTCTCCTTCCCCGGCTCTGTGGGACTCCAGTGCTGAAGGTGCTGCCTGTTCCTCCTACTACGGATACAACCATCACCATGCTCTATGATTCCCTGGAGCACGCATCTTGTCCTCGCTTCCCTCCGCCCCCTCCTGCCTTTTCGTTCCTCTGCCTCGGTGGGAAGCGCTTATCTCTGCTCTTACTCCCCCTCTCCCTGTGCATTGTGCCAACAACATGTGCTCCCAACAAGGACCAGATGGGAATACGTGTAAGAGCCTGGGGTTAACCCGTGTCTTTTATCCCACATACTCTCTGCTGTTTTGAAATGCAGATTCTATTGCACGCGCTTTGCAGTGTAAAGATTTAAGGTTAGTAGTAGAGTATGTTGATATTGCTTGTGAAACCCATCTCGCTCCTGTTGCACGCTGCTCATCTCCAATACGGGAAACAGAACAGACAGACAGTGTGCTAATGTCTCCAAGGGAATGACCTATTGGAAACAGAGGGGAAATGAGTGTTTGTAATATGCCCGTGCATATCTATCTCTAATATTCCTCTCTCCCTCGCCTCTGCGTTCATTTGTGCCCACACATGAATCCACAGATGTTGTGCCAGTGGGGCTGGGCACGAAGCCTCGGCTTTCTCCGGCTGCCAGCAGCCGCCACCGAGGGCCATCTTTGCCTCCAATTAATCTCTGCGTGGCAAATGATCAGGACCAAGAGCAGATGCAAACTCGCGCCTGCCACATGGATTTCCCCCACTGCAGTCAAGAAATCCATCCGATTGTGTGCGTGTCCAACCAACACCTCTGGGGCAGGAGCTGTTACCCCTCCCAGTCCAACACTGCTGTGCTGGATGGGTCTAAAACCCCAAAAAGATGGAATATGCCTTTTTAAGTTTCGGCTCTGTGCAGAGCTAGCAATTTCCATGTGCCACTCCAAGCATTTCTGTGCAGCCTGGCAATTAAGAAGATGAATTAGCAAGCCGTTAATGACGGTTTTACTGGGGGGGGCAGCCAGGCCCCTGGAGGCTAGGCCGGTAGGAACACAACCACATCCACCACACATGAGAAGCCAGCAGGCTTCTGTGCACCTCTCCAGAAGCTGGTGCACACCAGAGAGCCCCGAGGCTGCGGGTTTGGGCTCCATGTGACGCCTCCCTCCACACGGGGAAGGAGCGATCTAATTACATCCATCACAGAAATGCCAAAACGACATCCGGCTTATAAAACCTCAATTTACGCTCTGACATTTCTGGAAAACCAATTTTTAATCCATGTCATCTATCAGGAGTTCTTGATATTTTACTTCACCTCGATGCTTTATATATACTGTTGCCTTTATTGAGGTGCAGGTGGGGAACTGAACACAGGCTGACAAAATATTAGGAAGAAAAATTGATGTCAGCCAATGAAGGCTTCCGCAGGTTTTGGAGGAACAGAACAGCAAAAGATCTGACTTTAGCTTTTTCCAAATCCCCCAAATCCAGAAGCACCTTGTCCCCTAGCTGGGGCTCTTTTCCTGTGGCCATGACAGCATTTGGCCATTTTCAGGCAAGACCAGATCACCCCAAAACAATACATTTTGGCAAAGGCCTCACTTGGGTGTAGCTTATGGTGTGGCCTTTAATTTCACTCCTTCTTGAATAAACTCTTAATTTCAAACACAACCTTTACTTGAAAGGAATGGAGGGGCAGGAGGGGAAAGGTGAATTTTAGACATCACAACATGTTAAGTAATTAAAAATAAAGGGCAACTTAATTTTGGAGTAAGCAGCATAGAAAATTAAACAGAAGGTCTAATTTTCTTCAGGAATTCTTTCATAGATCGCATATATCTAGTGTATGTACAGCAAAAGTGGGAATGCCATGAAACTGAAAAGGCTTATTATATAATTTTGACCCGGTGCAAAATCTGCCCAGTAAAAATACACAATAATAAACTCCTTTCTACTATAAAAATTACTAGAATTGGAAAACAGGACTGCAAGTCACGCAAGCAGAAGGCTTCCTAACCACTACCAGCTCCCTTCCCTGGGAGTTTAGGTCACTTCAATAGGCCATAGGGGAAAAAAATGATGCAATTATCAGACTAGGACATCTGTAGCTGAAAAAAAAAGTGCTGACATTGATTTTGGTAATTGCTCGAGGGTTCTTTTTTGTATAAAGGACGTGATTATAATACTTCTGCTTGGGATTTTATGAACATGGCAGTACAGATTTGCAGAGCCAGGGGTTGTAAAATGGCACGGAGACATGACGTGGCCGGCAGCTGCCTCTTTACAGCCCTCACCTCGCCTCAACGACGCCTCCAAGGAAGAGCTTTGCCTCCTTTTAGCTACGCTTGCCCTCGCAGCCTTGCTGAAAACCTGTGGGATTCCTACGAGGGCTGCGGGCAGGAGCTCACACCCAGCCCTGGGTGGAATAACACGTTTATCCAGACCGGTGGCGGGAGCAGACGTCCCCTCCTCAGACTGCACTTCAGATAAATAAGGTTATTTCGCTACGAGCTACTACAGGCTACAATATACTCACATAAATATAGTAATGCCTATACGTGGATATGAATCGGTATATATCGGATACAGATAAGAAACACTTACGACGACGAGTAGATACCAATAACCGCTGCAGCTTCTCGCTGGGTAAAGTCACCGTCCACCCAGGCTGCATGCAGGGAGCCCGCCAGGGCTTTCGCCGTCCCCCTGCAGCGCCCTCTCCACACCAGTGCAAAACGTTTCCCAACCCTTCCACAGCTCTGTACTTTACCAGGAAAGCCGGCTCTGTGGGCCGGACCCAACACAACATCAAGCCCCCCAGCCCCTTCCATCTGGGACAAGCTTTTCAGGCACCACCCCGCCTTTTGCGCCAGCAGCGGGGAAAGCCGGGTTCGAGGCAGCTGCTGGACCTGGCTTTGTCAAGGCTACCGGCACAAAGCTCAGCTTTAAGCCTCGACAGCAACAGGGGGGGCCCGGTTTGCAGCAGGGGCGAGGAGCCGCTGCGACGGCGGAGCTGAGGACGCTCAGCAGCTCTGCACATTGCAATAGTAAAAACCAAATCATCATCCCACTCTTGGTGGTTTGAGAGGATCCTCAATGCAGCGCCCGTGCGCCTCTAACATACGAGTGGAGCTGGACCAAGCAGGATCAACAGGTCTCTAACAGACACGTGCATGCAGGAGACGGCTTCTCTCGGCATTAGACTGCGTTACCAAAGCATCCCCTTACCGGAGCGGGAGCAGAAATGTGCTCCTAGCATTATTTACACAATATAAAGTGCATTAGGATTTAGTAATTCAACTGACAGACTTTCTGCCGGGACCATACAATTTCGAAACAGAGGTGAGGGCTTGAATAGGAAATTCTCTCATGAGAAAAAGAGGTTCAGACCGGTGCTCTTCACCCTGTCCTCCTAAGGATTGTTTTTGGCCGTTCTTTCTAGTGCAAATAAGCTTGTGTTTTCTCAAGTTTAAGGGACATGGCAGTTTCAGGGCGTCAGGAACAAACATTTAAAACACATCAGGGAATCAGCATTCCCGAGCATCTCGCTGGGCCCTCCCGGGCACCAGCAGCCCGCGTGGTCGCTGCTCTGGGAAGCTGAAGACGCGCTGCCAAAAATACAAAGGAACCCGTTTCCGAATCTCACCGTTCAAGTCTTGCATTGCTACACTCCGAGTGCATCCCTACTACCCTCCAGCCCAACATCCGCTTCCCATCGCGTGGAAAGCCGTCCTCCTCCAGCCCAGCACCGGTGCTTTCCGTCGAGATGGAAACCCATAGCTGGTCTAGCCACGAGTGATCGGCAATGAACGTGAAGATCCTGATCCAGGTTTGGATACTAAGGTGCATCCCGTGCCAGGGGAATAAATGCATCAGCAGGTCCTATGGGATACCTGCATGCCGGAACCCAAGCTGGCCTGGTAGCCAGCCATCGCTGGATTCCTGGGTGGCATTAACGACAAACTAACGGCATTGGAAGGCCAATTCATTAACAAAAGATACAGGGTTTTTTTAAAAACGGGTAGTAATAAGGAAAGCAATTTTGCATCCTTTTTTGCATCTTTTAAAACGGTGAAGAAAACATCCCTTTCCAATCACGAGTAATTTCCTCACCAAGACTACAGGAACACAGGGAAGGCATGAGCACTTAAAACACACGCGGCCACTCAGGCTAATTCCAACTCCGAGGAGCTTTTACGATCCCTTGAGGCAAAGGCGGGCAGGGATGGGAGATGCCGAGCACACACAGAAACGGGAAGGAGAGCGTAAAAAGTTCGTACATTCATAGCTCCGGTTTGTTGGACTAGAAGTGAATTTTTTACCTCAGGCACTGTGACGGGCAGCAGCAGTCAGCGATACGCTAACGTACGCAACAACGACTCATTCACTAAATTCTGGTTTCACACCGTAACAGGATGTAGAGTTCTTTTAACGTGGGGTTTTGTGGTTTGTTTTTTTTTTTAATTGACCTGTTAAAACCATTAGGACGAAAGCCGTGAGAGCGAAGATGAACCAAGACCCCGCCCAACGCCCGCTGGTTCATCACGGTCCACTGGCTGTTCGAGTGATGGAGCGAGAACATCTCTTCCAGGTTTGAAAAGGGACCTGAAAGAGCAGCCTATGGAGAAAGGGATGGGAGGTTTTGACACTAAGCCAAAGGCTTGGTTGCTGTAACTGCTATATGTGGTTTTAAAGGGGGAATCACCTAAAACAGTGAAATTAACTTTCTTACTTCTTGTCACAACTGTAACATTTTCCTAAAGGTTCTTTGGTGACTTTGGTGCAAGCTGTTATTTTTTTTTCTTTTTTTTTTCTTTTTTTTTTTAAGTTAAAACAGATTGACTAGTTTTAGTACCCAAACTAAAATCCGGATTATCCTCTTGGTTCCCAACCCTGTCTCCCCAACCTTTCTCATTATGACATTAACAGGCAACAGCATTCAGATTGAGCGTGGCCATGCAGTGTGCAGGTGGCTCCAGACTCGGAGTGGTGAACAGTCTGGTTGGAGATAAAGATGTTTCTCAAAAGGTTAAAAAATAAAACAGGTCATGGTTGTAGGGAAAAATAGCTGGTCCACATGCACACTAGGCCACTGTGTAATGAAACAATTTGAGCGATTACAAATATCTCATCAGACATGGTAATGCCTGCTTAAAACAATCTTAAAGGTGAGCAACGTGCTACCAGAAGAACCTGGAGCTCAATCGAACTCCCGCTGCTTCAGGGGGAAGGAGCTGGTCGCCCAAAGGCTGGACAAGCCCCTTATGCTATAAATATTCACATTTTAAGAAACACAGAATTTTTCACCAACCTCCCAACCAGGTAATTGCATACATTCTCCCTCCAGGCAGAGAGTTAATATCACGAGATTTAAAATTTACATCACAAAGACTCCAGGATGACACGGAAACCTTGGGGCAGGCGGGCAAGATCGGGACTGGAGCTGCTCCAGGACGGCTCCAGCTCCGAGCTGGGGGGGAAGGGGGCGATGGCAGGGCACGGATGTTGTCTCCCCAACGCCGCCCACAATCAGCACAACAGAAAACCCACAGGGGCATCCACCACAGCTCCCGAAACGCGCCACGGGCGAGCGTGACAGAGATGCCTTTCTACACGAATCCAGTGGCGCACCCAACACCCCAAAGGCCCTCCCCACGGCAGGAGGAGGAAAACACCCCGACGCTTTCCTCGCACAGGTAACATCCCGAACCGCGTTCCTCTGGGAGAGGAGCCTGGAGCCTCGGTCACGGCATTCCTTCCACCTCCCAACACCCGCCTGCTGGAACGCCTAATACAAAAATACCTTCTGAAATTTTGGACAAAATGCATTAAAAACCAAAAAAAAAAAAAAGATCACCAGCCTCTAATGGGCAGAACACGGAGATGAGGAGTGGGTTGTCATTCACTGCCATTAATTCAGAAGGCTGAGCACCCCGCTGTCCTGGGACACTCAGGTGATCTGGTCAGCACAAAACTAGCGAATGAACAAGGGATCTTCCGCCCTTCACTGGCACGTGACTGAGGTCTGGTGGGTTATCGAGACTTTACCCATGAACAGACTATCGTTTGCAACTCAATAACCAGGAGATGCCAACTTTCAAACCTCTCTCCCTCCTCACACACAGACCAGAGATTCACGCGGAGCTGATTTTTGCCATAAACGCTCTACAGCAATGCTGCTCGGCCTTTGGGCCGGGCACGGGCAGAAGCCAGTCCTGAAAAGCTGGGGATAAGCAGAAACTGATACATTTCATGGTAAGGTTCAGGGCGGGGGTACTTTTGTATCCTGCTTAAGTGCAACACAAGCCTTTTCTAGACTATTTAAAGGTCAGGGTGCCGGATTTTGTTTGTGCTGATACTCGTACTTCCACAGTCTCCAACACTCGAAGCAGCTGACTCATACGGACTCGGGAGGTTGGTCCTTTCCTAAGACACACGGAGATGTTTTGGGCATAGTTTAACGTGATAACCAGACTCCTATAACATTATGTACCGGAGTTAGCAAGAACTACCAGAAAAGGACTTTACAAAAAACTGGGGCAACTTGGAATTACTATAGGTCAGTCCCTCTCACCAATTTCTGCTTGCTTTGTTTGGTTAATCGTCCAATGCACTCTATTCCAGACCCTCTTGCTCTTCACCACTGTCCCCTCTGGCATCCATTCTTTTCTCTTTATGGCTGTTGTAAATCCTCCTCATCTCTTCTTCGTACTTGATAAAATTTTCCCCGAACCGTGTCCACGCTTTGTAGGGAACTGTGATGGTGTTACGGTAGGGCGGCCTCACCTCACTTACCTTCAGGAAGATGCCGTACCTGTTGGATCCCACGTCAAAGTAGAAGCGCTTGTTGTCCACTCGGAAGGAGGTGCCCTCGGGGAGCTCCGGGGGCTCCTCACCTGCCCCCCGGCGATCCTCTACGTCCCCCTCGCCGTACTCTTCGATCAGCTGCACCAAAGCATCCCTGAACTCAATCATCCCTTGCGCCGGCAGGACGATCGTCTGCTCCTGTCCCAGGCTGTGCCCGAAGTAGCCCATCATGCCAGGTCCCCTGCTCATGGTCTGCCGAATCCGCAGGAAGCGCCCGCGCTGGTTCTCCTTCAGATCCATGTAGTACTTCCTGTTGTCCCTCTCGATGTACTCCGTCTTGAGGACGCTGTGAGGGGGCTCTTCGGAGCCCACGGACGCCGGGGGCGAGGGTGGCGGGTGCTGTGGCCGCCTCCGGGGATGCTGCTCCTTGTCGTTGCTGTGCTCGTGCCGGTGCCCATGGCCGCCCTTCAGGCCCAGGTGGGCGTAGTGCTCGATGAAGTCCCCCAGGCAGTCCTTCAGCTCGGCGGCCACGGACAAGGAGAGGGTCAGCTTGCTCTTCCTGATGTTGTCCTGCCTGCCCCTTCCTATCCAGACCTCGGCGATCTTCAGGAAGCGGCCGCGGGAGCTCTGTTTCACATCCAGATAAAAGCGCTTCTTCTGGATGTCCACCCTCTTGGAGGCCAGCTCCTGGATCTCCATGCAGCTCCCCTGGGAGGAGGCCGGGTAGTGGTACTGCTGCTGGGACTGGGAATAAATGTTCCTCTGCAGGCCAGAGCCTCCCAGGTTCCTTCCTCCTCCTCCTCCTCCTCTCCCTCTTTCCATCTTTACCAATCAGCTGGAAATAATACACAACCGAGACACAGATGACAACATCAGCACCAGGGGCCTGCTCAGCTCCTCGGCAGCGGCTCCGCTCGGCGCCGCTCTCCCTACAAAGGCTCCTGCATCCCTCCCCGCCGCCGCTGGCACGCAGCATCGCAGCCCGAGCATCCCGGGTGCTCCGGCTCCCGGACAAGGGAGCCCCGCTTCCAGCGGCACTTCCCGGCAGAAGCGCGGCCCCCGCTGTCCTGCCCCGGTGGCGCTAGAGACCCTCCAGCTGCCCCACGGGGCTGGCTGATGCAGCCGGGTTTCGGGGGGCACTCACCCCTCTCCCAGGGCTGCGGCTCCCCTCTGCAGGGTCTGCCCCCGAGCCGCTGCCTTCTCGCTCCGTCACCCCTCCCAGGGCACGGGGGGCACCGGGCTTCCCCGAGCGCTGCCCTCCTGCCCCCCGCCGCTGCATCTCCTTCCCCCGGCTTCAGCTCCTTCCCCCCGGCACTGCCCCACCGCCTCCCTGGCCCCTCGGCGCCCCGCCGCCGGCCCCCGCTGCCCTCCCTGCCCGGCAGTGCCCCCGGCAGTGCCCCCCTGCCCTGCTCGCCGCCCCAGTATTGCCCCCAGCGCCCCAGTATCACCCCCCCCAGTGCCCCCCACCACTACACCTCCCGCCGTTCG